TGGTCCCATAATTGTAATCAAGAAATGTCTCAAGATGTGTATTAGCTGTGAAGATTCCCTTGACATCACTGAGGTGCTCACAATGATCAGTGTCACACCAGTGCTTCTGCTCCCCATGATATCTTTGTCAGGTATTTGTAGCCCAGCAAATCAAACAGCACTCACCACTGCAGACAATGGCGGTCATTGTGACAGCAAACCTGAAAGGGAGAGTTGTTTGGAAACTGCTTCAGAACAATGCTTCTCCCTCCTTCCAGGATTTGGGATTTTCCAGGAGATACAATTTCAGCTTTCACAGAATTTATGTTTTAGTGGAAAAAGCACACAATAAACAAGTGAATCAATCACTCTCCATAAATTATTTCTATAACATATGCACAAAGTTATAGAAGTAATAGTTTATTATTAGCTAGATCTGTGACCGTAAGTGCCTATGCAGAATTCTACTGGGGTAGGCTGGACCCCATGGAAGGCCCGATTTATCTCAGCCCTTATCTCCACCTCCGAAATTTGAATTTGCCCTCTGCCTGAGATGAGGACAGGCACTGATATGAAAAGCTAGAAACAGAACCTAAGAAACACCTGGTTGAATGTCCTGTGCAGCTGATTCAGGTCTCTAGCTGAGGACTATCTTGGTGTCATTAGATGCAGATGGCCCATTGGCATAAGGCAAGGAGTAATGTATTCCACTGTCATTCAATACACTGAGATGGAAGAGGAAGAAAAGCCAAAACACCACGGAGGCGCGTGGCGAAGGATTACTACCTTCTGTGAGGGGGAAGAAGACTTAGAACCTGGTCTATTACTCAGTGCATTTCACAGATATCCCCAAAGTGGGCAAAGACAAAACTGTACACTCAGAACCCAAGCAAGTATTATCACAGTGCCAAGGATCTGAACTTTCAAAAAACATGAGAGTCCCCATATCTCTCAGCTACTTTCCTGTCACTAGGTCAAAATATTCAATATTCATAATTCTTACAAGAAAAATGGTTTTCCTAGCTCACAGTTGGAAAGTTTCAGTCTGTGGCGGGCCAACTCCAAGCACAGTGGAAAGACCTGAGCGCAGGACAACTGCTCATCCTATGGTAGCAGAAAGCAGCAGAAAAAGGGGAGGAGCCTGGGAGGGAGATTAATTCTTCCGGGTCACACGCCTGACCTGGGCCTGACTTCTTGTCAGTATAGTTAGCTCTGATTCACAGATAAGCACAGAGCCCCTGGGAATCAATCACCCTCCAAAAGCCCCACTTCTGAACACATGAGGCTTTAGGGGAACATTTTAGATCTAAACGATAGCACCACCCAACAACCATCTGCAGCACTATCAGCCATGAGTCCTATTAGTTTGTAAAATGAGGGGAGGGGCTTGGACTTGGTTGAAAGCCATGGAGAGGGTTGGTTAGGCAGGTAGAGCAGAATTAAGGGGGAGAATAGTCTTTAAAGAGGTGAAGCTGTGATGTTATGTCTGAGAAGGGGATGTGTAGAGGGCTCCTGCTGATGCTTGAGGTCTCTAAATCTGAGTGGATCCAAACCCATCAACGCTTCCTGAGACCACCATGGGGAAGGCTTTGCAGAAGGCCAATAGGGAGAAACATAAAGAGATAAGACACACTGTCCTCTGTGGCCTTTTTGTCCCTCTTGCTTCTCTGCAAGATGAAAGTATCTAAAGCACTGGAGCTGGATGGGTCTTGAGAGACCTTGGTCTATTTTTATTTTCATTCATTTAATCAATAAATACTTACTGAGTGCCTCCTATGTGGCACACACCAATGAAAGTGCTAGGGTTATAGTAGCGAGGAGACAGACACAGTCTCAAGTTTCACAGCATTTATGTTTTAGTGGGAAAACACACAAAATAAACAAGTGAACCAATACATGTACCTGAAATAAATTCAGCTGTGGGAAAAATAAAATATGACAAAGAATAAAGAGGGTAACACTGGGTTGCACAGCCAAGGAAGGTACCTCAGAAGAAATCATGCATGAAGAGAGGTGAAGAAGATATAAAGAAGCCCTGCATGAAGATTCAGAGAACGTGATTGCAGGCAGTGGAAATGGCAGGTGCAAAGGTACTGTGGAGGTCACAAATTTGATTTTCTCAAGATACATCTAGAGGGACATCATGGCTGTAAAAGAAAGAGCAAAGTGGACCATCTTGAAAGATAGTCAAGAACCTGACCAGTATTTACCAGATAGTAGGGATTTATGTACTGACAATAGCAGCCATAAGGACCTTTAAGAAGAAGAAATATGGTAAATTGAGAGCCAAACAGAAGGACATCCCCAGGCATATAGGCTCTCGGTCCAGTACCCTCTCCTACTTTACCACCTGCCCAGTGTGCAGTGATTCCCTTCCCTTGCTCCTTCTGATTCCATTCCAGTTTTCCAGAATTGCAGTGAGCAGTTGAGTCCTGGCTTCTGATTCAAATCAGACAAGCAGAGAGATGTGCTTTTGCATAGAGTAATGTCTTCTCCTGAGCACATCTTTAGCCCTTAAAGGGGAATGAAATGTGATAATTAGTAACCAATTAATGTGCATTTCAACAAACTATATTTTAATTATTCTGTCATAGGTTGTCTGCCTGAGAAATATTCCATGTTAATTAAATCCTCTTAATAATCCAGAGAAAGCGCCTCTTTCCTTGATGTGTTGGTGAAAAGGAGGACGATGGCAGACTTACAGCTCATGTAATTTGAGTTAATCGCATGAATCCTGCTTTGAGCTTTCCGCTGCTTATTGAACTAGTGATCTTTTAATGCTTCTTAGACATTTTTTATATATAATCATCACACAATTGCCCTGTTATGTCTGAGAGACTGCACCCTGACAAGACAGGGTCCTAGGGACTTCGCTGGGGAAATACTTGACCTGCCCCAGGCATCTGGCTATGACTGCTGACGCATACAGCAACACAGATGCATGTCCTGCCTTCTGCCAGCTGCATTGGACAACTCATCCTTACCTCTTCCTCACACTTTGTCACTGTGGCTTTGATTTCAGGTATAGAACACGTGCTGTGTGCGAGGGGCAGCAGAGCTAAAGACAAAGAAATTACAAACAAAGCAGGTGAGGTCCTGATCTGCCATTCTCTGCCCTCCTGCAAGGAGGCTCAGATAAGATCTTTCTATGGCAGCCTCTAAGGTAATTAGTTTGGAAAGAACAAGTGAGCTTTTCTAGCCAGGAAGAGGCCAGAAACCCTCATCACCAAAGGCAGCAGGTTGAGGGGCCTCTCGGCTGTTGCAGGAGGAAGTGACTTTCCACAGGTTAGTGGCAGGAATAGGGAGGCCCGGCATGAGACAAAGAGTCTCTGTCTGTGGGTGATGGATTAGGTGCAATTAGATACTTGGGATGATGTGAGGGATTTCAAAGCTGGGTCTCGACCAAGGAAAAAGAGCCAGTAGCAGGCAATGAATCTAGATCCCAGCCCCATGACGAAATGGAATGATCTTCTGAAGGACTGTGCCATCTCTTAAAGTGATGTTTCTCAAACTATGGTCCCCCTACCACCAGCACCATGGTCACCATGGAGCTTGTTAATAGTATGCATTCTCTGACTCCTCATTAGTAGATCAGAGGCACTGGGACTGGGGTTCCACTGGCCCTCCAGGTGGTTCTGAGGGAGCCTCAGAATCATTGGGCTAGGACCTTTTTGCTTATACCCAACCAGCACAAAAAGGAATCCCTGGACAAGTTACTTGCAGAAAGAGCCTTGACCCCAGTGTAGCATCCTGCAGAATTGAAATTAGTCACCTGACCATAATAGGATGCAAGAAAAGCTGAGGCCGAGTCCCCCACTTATAGATACTTAATATTTAAGAAGAGAAAGCAATTTGCCAAGTCATGTCTGCCACAAAGCACAAACCAGGAGCGGGGGAAGGCTTCCCAAAAGAAGCCTTCTCCAAGGTACCTGGAGACTCTCATTGTTTTGGAGCTTTGTGGTAACCCAAGTCAGAGATGTTATTTTATGTACCTAAAGTCATAGAGGTGGTGACAGAGTTACAGGTTGGCTCAGTGATGCTCAATGCCAAGTCCCAGGTCTGTTTTATCACAATGTCCAAAACGATACAGTTCTCAGACTGTGTAAGTGAGCTTGATCATTGAAATAGGACTAGATTGCCTATCTTGACTTTACAGCAAAAGACAGTACAAATGAAGCTACAATAGGAGTTGAGAAAACATGAAGGAAGGCATCTAGTGAGTAAACACAAAGGAAATTCTGTAGGGGACATGACAAAAAACAAATAGAGAGAATGTATGTGTACATCTATTATGTACATATGGTTATATGTATATAAATATGTACATATGTGTATATGAAAGACACACATTTATTAAATCATTATAGGCCATTGGAAGAGAAGAGAAAAACTTTGCCATACAAATGTCTGTACCATATGAATGTGACCAGAATGAACATTATCCTTCACTTACGTGGATAATCTTCAACAAGAGTTAGGAAGACTTCTAGACAGAGTATAAGCAAGATCTCAGATTGAAAAAATACTGGAGGGGGAAAGTCTAAGGCCTGTTTGGAGGAAAATAATTGGATGTACCTGGAGCTGAAAGTGGTGAGCAATAACACCGGAATGATAGGTTGGACTCAGAACCTAGAAGAAATTTAATGCCTGCCTAAGGAGTTTGCACTTTCTTCTTCAAATAATGGGGATCCAGGACAGTGTTTTGAAAAGGAGAATGGCAGGTTTAGATTCATGTAGTGCCAAGATTACTCTGGGGATAATGAATAGGATTGACTGAAGGCAAGGAAATTTCTAGAAGGCAAGTAAATAAGTGGGAAGATAGCTTCAATAGCTAATGGGAAGAAGAATGAATGGGGCATTGACAAAGTGGTAGAAATGGAAAGAAGGAAAATCATCCTGATTGAGGTGGTGGGAGAAGAAAGACATGTTGAAGAAGAAGCAGGGGTTTCTGTTGTCTGTGTCAGTGAATTGGGGAGATATTAAACAAAATAGAGCACAACAGAAACTCTTATTTGGTGTCAAATATGCTGAATTTTATTAACTCTTAAGAAGCAGGTTTTTTTTAATTTTAGTGACCAAGGATCAGGCTGTCTTCTACACATGAAGATGTCTTTCAAGGCATCTTCTAGGCAGGTAGAAAGTCAGGGATATTTGCCACAGCCTTTGTACATGTGGACCAGGTGACCCACCATCCACACTGTCAGGATTCCACTTGGGTTAAGTGTGTTGCTTGACTCATGGAGCCAACAATCCTGAAGTCAAGAGAAATGGTCACACTTTTTAAAAACCAGGTGAACAAAGTATTAAAGTCGCAGATTCTGGCATGACTAATTTATCCATTGAAAAGGGTTCTCTCTAAAGCTTCATATACCAGTTTGCAAAAAAAACAAAAAAAACCTTTTTCCTAAATTTCAATGGAAGCTGCTTAACCTCCAGTGATACATAATTCAGTTGAGTTGAGGGCAGCATAAGATGTGATTGTAGTCAAATAAAAAAGTTCCCTGCTTTGAGATTTGCTTGAAAGAAAATCCCAGAAACAATAACAGAGCATGCTTTTTAAAATGCTGTATCATCAACGGGCTGAAGGCATTCAGGAAGACACCGGTATAAACAAAGGTACAGTTAAAACTCAGAGTTAGCAAAAGAGGCTCTACAGGTGAATGTGTTCTAGGTGTACCCTAACCATTGGCTTCATTTTTGTTTTCTACTTTTTATATGTGCAAGAGTGAAAAGTAGGTTATTTTAATAAGTACAAAATGTTATTTTTCCTAAGTGATAAGAAAGGACTATGTCATTGCTTGCTAGACATTTTTCTTCCTTAATGGTTTGTAAAATAGTGGTGAATCTTAAAATTGATAGCTTCTGGGATTCAATGAAATGTGGCATTCATTATTCCCAACCTCTTGGCTCAGAGCAGCTCAGAATAAACTAGGTGTTGGGTCTAAAATGTTTAAATATAGCTAAAAAAGCCTTTCATGCAATTCTAGGGAGAATTCAAAAAAGATACAGAGTTGGGGAAATGGGTCTGTCGCATGGGTCTGCTGTGAACTTAAACATACATCTAACCTGAAACTCGGGAGTGTTCTGTCATGGATACTGACACAAGGACAATGAAAACATGTCTATACATAAAGACTTGTACATAAATGTTTATAGCAACTTTATTTCTAATAGCCACTAAAGTGGAAATAATACAAGTGTTCAATTAGTGAGTGAGTGAACGGAGTGTAGGGTCTTCTCAAATAATGGAGTGCTGCTCAGCAATAAAAAGACCTGGACAAACATCACACCTGTGACCTTCTGGAGGAATCTCAAAAGCCATCTGACAAATGGAAGAAGTCAGATCCAAATGATGATAAACTACATGGTTCCATTTATAGGACACTCTAAAAAAGACAAAAGTAAAGGCACAGGAAACAATCGATGGTCTCCAGGGCTGGGGTCGGGGTTAGAAGAAGCAGACTGCCTGCAGAGGACTAAGAGGAAACCTCTGGGATTAAACTGAGGTTTTATAGCTTGCTTATATTGCAGTAACATAACTATATGCACTGTCAAAACTCACTGAACTGTCTGCTTAAGAAAGTATGAACCTTAGTGAATATAAATCATACCTTGGGAAACCTGATATTTTATTTAAAAATGTGGCTGAAAGATTGAAGCAGACATGGGCACAAATCCTCCTACGAGCTGGGTGTGGTGGGCAGCGCACGAACCTCTCTGAGCTGATCCTGGATTCCCCATATATAGAGTGCAAATAACAAGGCCTGCTTAAGAGGGTTGTGTTGGGAAAACCAACTTCAGTAAGGTACTCAGAGACACTGACCACAAATAAATGTTTAGTCATGGCTATGTGCATGCTACCAGTGACCACAGGCAGTTTCATTATAGAGGAATTAATCAGCTGTTGTAATGACAGAATCATAAATGCCAATCAACTGCTTGTGACTGAAGCCATCATTCTGATCAAAACAATACTGAAATAGGGAGGGGCTCCCGGAGACGCAGCCTGAGCCTTTACAGGCAGCCCATTCAAGCCTTCACTCCTGCTGCTCACAGGAAGTGCTCACTCCAAAAAAACTTGAGGGGAAGGGAGATGATACTGAAAGTTATTTTGTGTAGGGGACCCAAAGACACCTAGAAGACTGAACACAGTCCCAAGCACACAGACAGATGATTAAATGGGACTTTTGCTTCCACTAATATTTTATTCTAGACATGCAGCAAAATAAATCAAGTATTTAAGCATACAACAGGGAAAGTCTTAAACATTTTGCATGCACTGGTCTCCCTTAGTCTTTGTAAGAGTACTGTAAAGTAGAAACATTGATAATTTCCATAAAACTGACAAGAAAATGGATATAGAGAGATTAAAAAAAAAAAAAAAAGAGGACCTGTCCAAGGTCACAGCTAGTAAAGGCCAGAGTCTGGCTTCAAATTCTAAATCCTGGGTCAGGAGTCTTCATCACCCAGTAGACTGAAGGATGGGCCTAGAAACCTAGATCGGGGTGTCTGGGAGCTGATGTCTTGCATTGGTACCTGGAGACTGAGTGTCTAAGGGTATCATGAGCTTTAGAGATTGCTGCCTGAAGAAAGCATACTCGCTTTGGAGCCCCTAGCATCAAAGTGAAAGCCTAGAGAGAGATTCAAGATTGTAATATGCTATGATTTGGGACCAAACTACTTTGTATTTGTTATTTCTATAGGAACAGAAGTTCTGGGAAGTTCTGAAGGCTGTTCACCCCTTCCCATCATTCTTCCTCAGGGAACCAGAAATCTTCAAATCCCTGAGAAAGAGGCAATCTTGACGACACAGTCCTCATCTGACTGTAGATCATGATATACTTTGCAGTAATGGCTTGCATTTTGCTTCCTGTGTCCCTTTCTGGCCTCAGGTGACTCTTGGGTTCCTTTCCACATGTAAAATGAGTTATCAGGTGGACATATCCTTTGGATCCCTTTCCCCTTGGATGTTCTGATATAGTAATTTGTTCCTTCTTTCACATGTCGACCGATGATCAGCCACCCCATCACTCTGCCTTGGAGAGGTGTGGTGGAGTTCCTCATCTTCCGTCTTTAAGAACCCCAGAGACTACTTCTCTTGGAACAAACCTGTATGAATAAACTTTAAACGAGAGAAAGAATGAGAGAGACTAGACAAATCTTAAATTCTAGAAGTAGATCATTAAACTTTTACTATCTCTAACAATGTTGGGGTTGGATAAGCCTGAATTTAAGTGTTAAACTTGTCAACACTAGGATGGCAAAACCAATTCAAGTACTTCCCTCCACATTAAAAGCACACAAATAATTTATTGATTTTTTTCTCTAAGAAAAAGTAACAAAACACCCAGTCACATTTGTTTCGCAAACCACATAGTATAAGATACAGTCTGAGAGAACATAAGGAAGGATTCTGCTTTTAAGTGCATGAAATAAACATTCCAATCTAAAACCTCAAGATTACACATAAAGATGTACAAAAGGGATGCCAACAATGATGTGAAATGTCTGAAAAGCACACATACATGAATAGACAATTTTACACTCAGCTAATACAATAAATGTGTTCAACTAATAAGCATTAATGAAGCATATCCTAGTACTGATCTCTGCTGAGGATTTCAGGGAGTAAGATGTGGTTGCTGGCTTTAATATGTACAACACCCCTCTAGCAAGTGCTCCTGAGAAATTTTTCATGGTTGCAAGAATGGGAAGGAGTGATTAACTCCTCACTCTTACAGTAAATTACCAAGTCTTCACTATGGCTTCCAACCCCATTCCAAAAAGGCCCTGGTAGGCCAAATAGCCTTATTTTTGCTCTTCTTCTTCCCTCCAATCTATGCCATCTTTAGTTCTTTGAGTACTATTAAGAATTGAATTGTGACCCTCAAAAGTTACTGATGCCCTAACCCGTACAACCTGTGAATGTAACTTTGCTTGGAAACAGTCTTAGCAGATAATCACATTAAGATAAGGTCATTAGGGTGAGGTCCTGTCCAATATGACTGATGTTCCAAAAAAAAAAAAAAAAAAAAAAGATGGAAATAGGGACTCAGAGACAGACACATACAGAGAACAGTTGATGTGAAAACGCAGAAGAATACTGCCCAGTAGGCCAGGAGTGTTTGAGATTACCAAAGCTGGGAAAAGGCCCAGAATAGGTATACTCAGAGCTGCAGAAGGAACCAACTTGATCAACATCTCCATCTTGGATTTCCATGTTTGAGAATTGCCAGATGAGGAATTGCTGTTGCTCAAGGCACCCAATCTGTGGTACTTTGTAATGGGCCCCGGCCAAATAACTTAAGTTCTGAACTCCTTCAGTTTTAGGCCCAGAGTCTCTTCTCTTTGCCCCCTCATCTAGCTAATAGCTTTTGAGCTTGGATACCACCTCCTCAAGGGAATTTTCCAGTCACTCTTGACCATGGCACCATATGGGTCTCACGCTGTATGATAGCCGCCATCCTTTGTATAATTGGTGCATATGCGCCTGCCGTCTTGAATGTCTCTTTGGCTCCTGCAGAATAGGCCCCATGCCTGGCACACCCAGCCCCCAGGACGTACTTGTTTCAGTCCAGTGGGGTCAGTGGGATCCCTATGAGAACCCAGCAGAAGACAGTTGTAAAGGTAGTTCTCAAGTCTTACAGCCTCAAGGGCTGAATTTTTGCTATTTTTGAATATACCCTATACATTACTTGTCCTCTTCTGCTTCTGCAAGGTGCTGCAAATTAAAGAGCTTGGCAAATGACAAATAATCTGCATTTGGGCCTTAAAATGTTAACAGGTAGAGCTGTCCTGCCTGTGCTTCCAACCGCCCCTCCCTCCACTTCAGAATCCAGCTGGAAACCCCTACAGGGGACCCAGGAGGAGTAAGCTTTTAGCACCAAAGACACTGGAACTATTCTAGGGAGAAAAGAATAGGAGCTAATGGCAAGAGCAGCCTTGCCTGGCCCCAGGGAAAATCCAGAAGGCCTCTCCATCTGGCAGTCCATTTAGAAACCTGACCTCTTTGCAGGCAGTGAGTGTCCAGGGCCTATTAAAATGCAAGGCACCTGCTGGGTGTCTGAAAAGGAATTAACCTTTTTGATGGTACCGCGGGCTACATCTCCAGGTGACAGGTGTATGTACAACAGTGACCAATAGCCACCTCTTCTCTGACTCTGGCTTTAGGTCACAGAACTCATCAGAAATAGTCATGGTCACTTCTTCTGCCTGTGTCTCAGTCTCTTCATCTCCAAACTGGGACAGAATTCTCTTCTATGTCTGCTCACAGGTTGGTTTGTTGAAACAAGGGTCTGACTAAACTCTATAAGCCAAAAAAAACCCACCTTTTAGATGTGAGAGACTGTCATCCCTTTTCCCAATGAGAATTCATTACTAGAAATGAATTCCACAATCCTGTTTATAAATCAACCGCATCCTCCAGGTATCTCCATCTATGTGCCCTTCTTCCAAAGAAATTGTAGAGCTATCTTACAGAAAAATCCTGACCTAAGATTTAATTCTAATCCATAGGCACTGGTAGAACACATACTATGTGGCTATGCAAAGAAAAGGGATACATTATGCTGTGGATCCCCTAATGGCCCCTTGGGGAAAAGGACTTTTACATATGAACTGAAACAGAGTATAAGGTAGATAGAGACAATGCTAGACTCTGAATCGGGGAGTTAGGTTCTTACAGGGTCTTTCCAGGCATAGGCAGCACAACCTTGGTGATTATGCCATCTGCCTAAGACTTGGTTTTCTCCTTCATTCCACAAGTCTAGTAGAAATGATCTCAAGAGAAAATATTTTATTTTAGAGAACTAATTTGGGATTCCATTTGGGGAACCATGATTAATGAGGACCATCCTTAGATCCTTCCATCTGGGATGTCTGCATGGAGATTTCAGCACCTCCTGACCTGTTCTCATTATCCACCCTAGATCTGCCTGTTGGGTCATAAAATGAGACCTATCTATCCATTATTTTCATCTCTTAAGTCCATTTGATATTCAACATTCTGCATTTCCTAGTTCTAAGGTTCAACTGAATACTATAGATAATAAAAGGAGTGATCATTTTATACGCCGCAATGTTGAAAGGATATGGAAATTAGCAGTTACTCAGCATTTATCGAACATTTGTTGCAAGGCAACTTTCTGCTGGAAGTTTTCATTCACCCATTCTTTTAATGCTCACAGCAGCCATAAGAGGATATCATTAATTCTTGTCCTCAGGGATAAGAAAAAAATCTGAGGTTCAAAGAGGTTAAGTACTTTTCCCAAATTCACAGAGCTAGAAAGTCATAGATAAGGAAGCACTGGCTGCCTCTCTGATGCCTTAAAATAGAGGCACGAGGTAAATCAGATTTTGCTCCCCTTAACCTTCCTGGACCCGCTTGCTCTGGCTTTTCATTGTCTAGTGTTCACAAGACATTCCATTTTCACTTTTCTTCCAGGTTTCCATAGAACTTTCTACTCTGTTTGTGCTCCTCCCTTGGTTCTCTGCTTCATTCCTTGCTCTTTGGACATAGTCAGCCAATCTATCATCTAAATGTCCTGCTGGGCCCTGTCTCCTGAAACTACAGCCCACTTTATGATCTAACACCTGCTGACTCGATTCACCTACCTTGAATTGTGTCATATCAATGATCAGGTATGTTTTTGTCCATTTAGCGATATGTACTTTAAGCATTTGCTGGGGCCAGATGCCACTCAGTAAGCAAAGTGAGGGACTCATCTTCAAGGAGCTCCTGCATATAAAAAATAGATTGCATGTATAAACAGGTAAACAAGAGCATAATGCCATTTTAAGGAGAAGTCATTCCATGGCAGATGGGAAGTAGCTATAACAGAGCGAGAAAGGACTTCATAATGTGATCCATCAGGAGAGAGGGACATGATCTGAAAGGGTAAACTGTATAAAGGTCAAAGGAAAGAGACATTTGGGGCAGAGGGATGGGCTAACACAAAAACCTTGAGACCAGAAAAAGCTCATGTTTATAAAGCAAAAATAAGATCCCCACAGCTGACTGGGAGAGTGGTGGAAGTTGTGTAATAAAGGTAGGCAGGTTCCATATTAAGTAGGACCTTGTAAACTGTCAAAAATTTTTTAAATTTCACTATAAAGGCAAAGGGAAGCTCCAGAGAAATTCAGTGATGGGACTGATGTGATTTCACTTACATCTTTAAAAGATCACATGGTTACTATACAGGAAATTAACTGTGCTAGCTTACCAGGAAGACCCAATGGGAACCCACTACAATAGTATTCACATTACAAGCAAGATGCTAGTGGCTTTGACCTAGATGGTGGCAATACAAGTAGTAAGAAAAGGTGAAATTTGGAATATGTTCAGTTGTATGTGGGCCTTTTAACAACCAGCTCCACAGGAACAGCAGAATCCGGGCTAGTAGCATCTGCCAATTTCCATGGTACAAATGGTTCCAACATAGACTGATCTAAGCTCTCTACATGAAATCTGGTAGCTTGTCACATTTCTGACAATTTGCACAGGGCTTGCATAAGTTGCTATGAATTGGTTCCAGCAAGCCATTGTATTGATTTTCAGTGCTGACCCTATAGGACACACTGAAAGTTAGAAAGTGATTGGCAAAGGAAAGACAGAAATCCAGAGTGACTGTCATGCCACTGCATACACACTAATGTCATTTACTATGGTGGAAAAACTGAAAATAGCCAGTTTTAAAAAGGGTTAGATAATAATTTAAGGAAACTTTCATCCCCAAATTATTATCTAAACTTATCAGAGAGAAACACTATCACCAAGATTTGTCATGTACGTTTGGGAATAAAGAGAAAATATTCCACAATTTGCATAACTCTAAACTATTCCATGACCCCAGTAGTTAGGAGCACTCACATCTGGAACAAGACTCCATATTAGGGTAATGCCAGATGTTATACCAAGCAACTCCTGAAATCTCGACATCTTCACTTAGCATAAGTCTATGTCTATTTGATGTAAAGCACAGTTGGCAGGGTGTGGGGAGCTGCAGCAGACGTGGGATACTCCCTGATGCATACTATCTTCTTCCACACATGACGAACACCTTCTGAAGCCAGTCTAGGGGTTGACGTCCACTGCCAGGAAGAGAAAGAGAGAGAAAAGGAAGCATGCCAGCTTCCTCAGAATTACTTCTTCCAACAAGTGACATTTTTATTCCTATGATATTCCTTGGTAACAACTAGACAGTGTGACCTTGCAGTTCAGGGGACCTGAAAACAAACAGTGCTTGGCTTGGCAACTGTTTCCCAGCAACAGCTTCATATTTAAATGGAAAAATGAATTCTTGGTGTTCAGTCATTCATCTGTACCTCAGTCCATGATGCTGGCTTTGCCTTGGGCAAGTCCCTTGACTATGCTGAGGCTAAGTCTGTTTTTTCTCCACAAAATGGGAATAATGCTAATACTTATAGGGCTCTTGTATTGTAAAGAAAACATTAAAGGAAGGGAAGGGAAAGGAAGGGAAGGGAAGGGAAGGGAAGGGAAGGGAAGGGAAGGGAAGGGAAGGGAAGGGAAGGGAAGGGAAGGATAATATTTGTAATACACTTGATCCAGTGTCTGCCATTGTCAATACATTTGAACCAGGAAGAATATTTGATATGATCACCCATCCCAACCTTTTCCACTCAAGCCTATCTCATGTCAGCACACACTTCCTCCCTCCATCCTTTGCTTTCATCAACAATCTACAGAAAATGAGACCAGATAAAACAAGCACTTTGAAAGAGATTTACATCTTAGAGGGTGCCCCTCAAGGTAGAGCACACTGGCTTTGGAGCCAAAGGATCCCATTCCAGCTCTAATCTCATAGCTCTTTGGCAACACTCTGGAATCCCTAAGGCTTCCTGTGCAGAAAGAAGACAACAGTAAGTACCGATCTTGTTGGAAGGATGAAGTAAGGCATTATGTGTCAAAGTTGCCTCACAGACTATGATCTGGAACATGTGAATCATTTTAGCCAGCATCTGAAAACTCTTCAAAGACCGCTTAAAATGTTGTTATATGACACACATCACCATCGCAAACCATCCTCATCAGAGTCACCTCATTTCCAAAATGCTCTGTTTGGCAATCAGCATGCACTGCTGCTGCCTCATGAGCAGAGGGTTCTTGTCAGCCAGAAGTTGAAGCTGTTCGTTTTCCAAGGCTTCTCCCTTTTGTCTTGATTCTGCATGCTCAAGGTTGTCTGGGGTCTTGAGCAATCAGAAATGATTTGTGTCAAAAAGCGCATTACAAGAATCATTTGTCATTTTTGGTTCATGTTTGAATTTGAAAAATGATGCCAGGAAGTGATCCAAGGCACGATGCAGAGCGTTGTTATGATGAGTGAAACCATTATGTTAACCTTTTGGAAGTTTCACTCAGGTTCAGTGTTGACTGCATGTAGCAAGGACAGAAATGTGGAGCCCCCACAGTGGGGTGGATTGGGTAAGCACTAGTAATAAGAATGCTTTGTGTTTGAATGATTATCTTTTCTCAAAAAATAGGCACAGAAAAGAATAGAAAGATCCTTAAAGAACATCTGAGCCCTCATCTTACAAAGAGAAGCTTTGGGGTGCAGAGGCATTGTGTGACCTGCTCATAGCCACACAGCTAACTCTCCTGTTGATTAGAAGGGTCCTTCACATGCAAAACCTAGGTTGGAATATTGAGCTAGAAATTTTGTTTGCCTGATTTTAGGCCCACCTCATTTCTTTTAGGCTGTTATTTCTGCAATACACTCCGGGTCTCTGCAGCTCTTTCTGTCTCCCTGAAAGACAGCATCCACGAGTTACTCTGTTCTACAGCTCTGACATTTTATGTTTCATGCAGTTCATGGGGAAAAGCTTTTATCCTTATTTGGCAGTCAAGAAAACCACAATTCAGATATCTGGAAAAGCTTTTGATATGAACCATGTGGCACATGTAGATTTTTTAATAGAGAAAGGGGAAGGATATGCCAAGCAAAGATAACAAAATGATTAGAGGCAGAGAAAAGAGTAAGCACTGTCAGGCAGTCTTGTATACTTGGTCATGGCTATGTGATGGCAAGCAAGGTCAACGCTAGAGGAAGTGCATTCTGAAAGACACTTTAGAAGCCGATCATGGAGAGCCTTGAATGTCAAGTGCAAGCCATAATTTCCCTAAGCCCATGGTTCTCAACCAGGGGTGATTTTTGCCGCCTGAGAGATATTTGGCAATCTTTGAACACATTTTATTGTCCTAACTGATAGTGATGTGCAAAATCCTACAATGTAGATGCTACCATGTCCAAGACCAACCCTAAGTAAGACCAAAGCATAATCAGCATAGAGGCTGAAAACACTAGTATAGTCAGAGAGGTTGTCTGCTGAGGTTTATGGATGGAGGAGAAAGGATGAAGGAAAGCATTGCCACAGTAATCCGGGAGAAAGTGCTGAAATTTTGAATTGAGACAAGGTCAAGGCAACCAACATCAGTGATGTGGAAGAGATGAAATTGACAGAATATGGTTTGCCCATTCATTGCAGTAACACCTTCAAACTTCAAGCTCTCTCTCTCTCTCTCTGTGTGTGTGTGTGTGTGTGTGTGTGTGTGTGTGTGTGTGTGTTTATATGTAGCATCTTCTTCCTTTCAATTTCCTGTCCACTTGCTCATATGTCACCTCAGAGGGAGGGTGAGAAGAGATTTGGGGCTGTATTTCACCTCCAAGTTCTCTCACTGCACCAGCCACAGTGACCTCACATTTGATCAAGCTCCATCCAAGAAAGGGATGAAAAGTCTGGAGCTGGCACATGCAGCACCTCCTGCAATTTGTTTCAATTATTGGTATCATTTTTCATCAATGTTTTCTAGTACAACATTGTGAGTTCTGTGAGCAGTGACCATGTGAGTTGTATTCTTTGCTGCAGTTCTCAGAGCACAGCACAGAAGCTGACATAGAGCAGATGCTGGAAACAAATGTGCTACATGATAAATGAATGTCCTTTGGCTTTCTGGGGGGGAAACTGTAGATATCTCTGCTTGGTGGGCTCAGCCTTATATCCTGGGCTGAAGTGCTGAGTGTTGGGTTCAGTGTTGGCTCTGACTGTTCTCCCTAAACCCAGCAATAGGCATGAATACACCTTCCCAGATGCAAGAAGGGAGTAAAATAGAAAGAGTAAACAGATAATCCATAAGAAATGACCTGAAATATCCTGGGCGATCTCTCAATCTCTTTAGTACACACCTCTCTTGACCATCTCTGTCATTGCTATATTGTTCCATTCCACATGGCCCTAGTTCCCCCTAGAAAACTTAAGGGCACAGAGGAATGGACAAAAGTGGGCACAACTTGTGTTTGCTCTTGTTTATGAGACAGTCTGAGAAATGCCTCACTGTGTCAACCATCTCCCCATCAGAAACTCAAGAGGGCTTATCAGCATTCCAGGTCACAAGAAAAAGGATGATATTTGGGGGAAACCAGAGGATGGAAGAAAGAGATGTCCCTCAATGGTACTGGGACAAGCCCTCAGGCACATGACCAGACACCATGAGCTATATATGTGGGTATATAGGTGTATGAGCTGCCTCAAGCGCAGAGGGAAAGTATTTAATCACTACTTCCCTGCAATCTCTAGAACTATGAGTAGTGATGCAAGAAATGCACTAGTCTATAGCCAAGGGCACCAGGCCAAGCTAATTCTCTAAGACCTGGGCACCCATCTGGCCATAACCCACAGATAGCACAAACTGAGGGCCACTGCAAGGTCAAAAGCCAGTTGAGAGGCAGAGGAAGGACCAGGACTCACATGTCTGGAATTCCCAGCATTCTTTGAGGTGGGGCCTTATGTGCTCCAGATGTTGGGTTAACACTAGTAAGCAGAGCTCAAATTAAATGCAGACAACCATGGTTTGAAGCCTGCTCAGTTCAGACTGTGTGATTTGGGGCTGAGCTCCCTTAAAAGCTCTGTGTATAGGAAATAATGGGAAGACAGAACCCAGAAAGTTATTGCCTAGATAAATGAAATTAAATGGAACAATGTAGAAAAAATACTTTTAATATTTAACATGAAGTAGGGACTCAAATACTTATGCTGAGTGAATCATTCAGTCCAAATGATTGACCTTTAATAAAGCCACCGGGGGCCACCTCCAGTCTCTGGCTCCCTGCTATTTGTCTTGCTGTCCTGTCCAGGAAAAGCTGGCCTGTCTCTGGCTCCCCACAGAGGACCATGAAGCTCCTTCTCAGTATTCCAACTCTCTCTTTCCCGGTGTTGGTAAAAGCAGTTTCCCTGAAAAACCACTTAGCACATGCCCAGGAGGGTCCATGCTCCATGTGAGTTCCTCTCTCAGGAGAAGGTTACCCATATATTCACCTATGTCTGCGTCAATTAAATGGTTTCATTAAAACGCCTAGCAATGTGTGTGGGCAGCTCCACGATGACCCACAGTTTAAGAAGGCATTGCTGCCATCTGCCAAGCTGCCCATTCCCCCTCTGGGCTGTGGCAGCAGAAGGGTACTGACTCTCTTTTCTTCCCGAATCAGAGCACATTGGGAATGAAGGAAACCCTCAAATGATCTCAGATTGGGCTTTATTATTCTAAAAGCTCAGAATCTAATTAGGTCTCCAAAGCACTTAGTTTTATGTGTTGAAATTAATCCAACAATGAGAATATTTCATGACACATTTAGTTAGTTGCTTTTCATTCATGAATCCTGAAAAGAACCCCTTTCTCCTACAAGGAGTAAAGTTCACCCCAGGGGCCAAGAAACTGTGTCTAAAGACTTAGAAACCCCACACATGTGACTGTGTCCTATAGCCCTAAATTCTATGTTCTATGTTCCTAAGTTAAGGAACCCTTTAAGTCCTGCACATTTATTTAACACTTATCTCCTGTTCTGGCTTCATAGTAGTCTTGAGGGGGAAGCTGAATAGGGGTCCAGAAGATCTGTGGGATAGACATACATAAAAATCATGAATTAAAGTACAGCACAGAAAGAGCTGGAAGAGGAGCTGAGCTTCCCTACCCTCTGCTCTTACCACCACCAAGGAGCACCAAGGTACAAGTCCCTCTGTCTGCCTGAAGAACGCTTGAGGAAATCTAATGGCTCACACTTTTTGAGTGCATAGTAAATGCAAGCACTCTACTGAATTCCTCACATGATGGAACTGGTTTCATCCTCATTTGAAGGGAAAGGTACCAGCATCTGCGTGCTGGG